CAAATTATTGTTAGTTCATTATAGGAGTTATAAAATTAATTTATTAAAATGACTTTCTATATTAAGAATATTGATACTGGGTTAGTTCTTGATATTAAAAATGCCAACAATGAACCAAACGGTAAAATTATCATGTACCCTTACAATGGTGGTAATCATCAACTTTGGGAGTATAGAAATGGGATGATATACAGCTTACACAACGAGTATGTTATAAAAGTTATTAATTAAAAATATATTTATTAATTGATAAACACATTTTTCAGCCTTGTGTTGGACCTGGATCAGTGGCACGGAAATACCATAATAACTTATCCGGCTCATGGTGGTTATAATCAACAATGGACATTTAATGATGATAATACAATTCAATGCAATGTTGGGCATGTATTAGACGTAGCATTCAGTAATCCACATGCCGGTGCTCGGGTGGTAGGCTGGGAAAAACATGGTGGCGCTAATCAACAGTTTGTCAGGGTCAATGTCCCCGATAAGTAGGACAATGTCAAGGTTAAAAGTGAAAAGTTTTTGAATAATTAAAAATACTGAAACATTGTGTAACACGCTAAATTTTGGCAGTTTATATTTTTATTTAAATTACTTAATTATGTTTTACAATAATTTATGTTATAAAAATATTATTATTATTATCACCATTAATGTTACAGTCATACTGCACCCTCCTATTATCAATGTTTTATTTGCTTTAATATTTGCCAATAGATATTGTCTGTTTAACCGATGACCATGCTGCTGAAATTGTTGGGCACAGGCCTCCAGTGCATCGGCCCTATCCCTTAAGTCCGATAATCTGTAATCCCTTTCCAGTACTCTATTAAAATTATCTCGCATTAAAACTAAGACATCATCTACCTGTTCAATTAATTTATATATTAATTATGAGTAAAAAGAATTTAAGGCAATAATTCTTTTAAATAATATTTTAATAAAGTTAACATACCTGAGCTTGAACATGTTGTAATTGGATTGCATCGGGGTCATCCATTTAGTAACATACCAATACGTATGCGGGATACTTTTGTCAATTTTGTGACTTATATTTTAAAATCAGTGACCAAGAAATGAGTATTATATTTTATATTTATTCAAAAATATTGAGACAGCATTTTGATCATAAAAAATAAATAATTTTACATTTTATTTGTTGTTTATTTGGTAATTCATAATTAGATTTACCACAAAAATACATGCATGTAATATTTGTCACTCACATTTAAGTATAACGTAAAACTTTTATAAATACACTTTGAAATTGCTGATTTGTAATATCGTAAAATAATTGACAGGGTATTGACGTATAAATTTAAAATGTAAAATACAAAACGTGGGGATATTTAAAACATTGGCAACTATAAAGGCAATCATTGCTTGAGGCAATCATTGACAATCAATGTTAAATTGACATTTTCAAGATCATTTTTAAAAAAAATAATTAGTGGTAATTGATCAAATGTGCGATGATATTGTAAAAATAATATTTTATTATATAATTAATTTCATTCAATATTTATTTATTACTCCATTATAATTACTGTCTAGTGTTTTTATAACATATTAATGCATACTGTATGAATTAATATTATTTTACTATTTGTCTCAGAATATTGCATCATACAAGTATAATAATACGCTACTTCATAGAAAAGTTACGTACAGCGAAATTTTTGTAAATAATAATTATTATTACGCAACATATAATTATGATAGCTTTCGTTTCAAGAACACATGACTCGAGTTAACTCCCATTGAATAGCATACAAAACGGTTAAATTGTAATCTAATGTTCTTAATTTGATTTACAATTAAATGGTGATTTAAAAATTAACCAGACACAATTAATTGCAATCTCTGGTGTTGTTGTGATCAGTGATCATTCATTTAAACAGTTGAACACAGATATAGCCAT